GAGAAGACTACATTTTTCACTTCCTGAACCTCAAATTTCTTTTCCAAGGATTCCAACAACTCTCTATTTCCAGCCCTCCATTCCGGGTCCTCTAAATCTTCTCTTGAACTCCTCGAGCCCTCGTATAGCGTTTTGCAATGGTTCACAATCCCTATCTCTTGTCAATACTTGCCCATTCCATTACAATTTCAGCACTAAGTTTTTCCTCTTTCTCCCATTTGCCAACATATGGAAAAACTGGTATTGCCATCCCCTTTCCTGAGCCATTGACATCTAGATTTTTGTCTCCAAGTATTCTTAGAATGTCTTCTAGATCCGTTTTCAACCCCCATCTCTCTTTCCTATCTTCTGAACTCAAACTTCTCTCAGCTTCCTCACCATCTAGCTCCTCTATTCTACTTTCCTGTTTTCTTTCTCCAATCTTTCCAAAATTCTCTTTATTCCAAAATCCAAACCTTAATTCTTGCTTTCAGCATCTATAGTTTCTTATAGAATCTATAACCCTTCCACCTGAGCTCCACTTGATCATCCTCCCACCACTCCTTCACCTTTGGCAAGAAATCATGGTGCAGTAGCCACATAGTCTCAGATCTGAAAGGTCAAGGGCCACCCCCACCCTCTCTTGGGCCAGACTTATTGGGCAATGGTCTGAAACAGGTCTTGGCAGTTCTGTGACTATCGCCATTCCACTTCCCAATTAGTTGTGAAAAGGAATCTGTCTAATTTACAACAAGTGGGGACCTCTTGAAAATTTGACCAAGTAGAATTCTCTCTGTGAATAGGTTAGTCCTGCAACTCAAAGGTCTCTACGAAGAGGTTAAACTTCCTCATATTCAATGTAATCCAGTGGTTTGGTGGGTTTCCACTCAAAAATCTTATGACATTAAAATCTCCCCCCAAACACTAGGGACTCTCCCATAAACCTCTCACTATTGCTAATTCCACCCAAAGTTCCTCCCTTTCCTTATAAGAGGTGGGTCCATACACATTAGTTAAAACCCATTCGCAATCATCCACCCTCCTCTTCAACTCTTTGGGCATTGAATACTTCCCAATTAACTCCTCGTACACTCCAACTCTGCATTTTTCCACGAAGTTATAACTCCCCTTAATGCTCCCCAAGATTGTGTATGCCCATCTTACGTCTCTAGCTGACCATATACTTCTCACCCGCTTCCTGATTCTTGAATCAACACAATGTCTGGTTTTTCTCTCCTCAACAGACCCCTAATCACTCCTCCTTTTTTTGAGTTTCCTAACCCTCTTACATTCCAGCCTATCAATTTCATGGACACCAAAACAAAATGCACCCTGAGCAGACGATTCCACTTACCACTTCTTCCTCTTCTTCCTTCCAACACTCCTTTATCATAACCCACCTCACACTTAACTTTTTCTTTCTTTGCTTTTTTACACCATTTCCTCTAATCCTAGGCTCCTCTAGCTTCTCCTCCCCCCCCCCCCCCCTTTTTTTTTGTTTTCCCCTTTTCATTTTTTGAACCAGCTTCTGCTTTTATTCTTCCATCACCCTTAACTTCCTTCTCAAAACTAGGACTTGGAGTGTCACCCTCCTCATTCCTTTCATTCTGCTCAGCCATCTCTTCCTCCACCTGAATTCTAAACAGTTCCATAATCAGCTCCCATATTCTATCCCATATCTCCATGTCTACTATTTCCAAAAGCAGATCACCAATCACCTCTATTTCTTGCACGTGATCATCCTGATTGGTAGACTGCAAGGTTGGGCTAGTCTCTCCTGTAGGCACAACACACACAGGACTAGAAGAAACATTAGTAGCAACAAAAACTGGGTTCAAATGAGAATTTTGTACAAAGGGATGATTTGCTGGAGGATTTGGCGAACCCTTAATCCCAATCATTGGGCTTAATCCGGAGGTGTTACCTTCACAACCAACCTCTAGATAGTTATCTGTGGGAATGGGACAGTTTGTAGTTCTACTAAGAAGTTCTGGGTTGACTTCACAACTCCTACTGATACCCTGTACTTGGTCTTGTTTTGAACGCAGTTCTCCTCTGTTCTTTGTCTTAGATTTTACTTCCTCTGAAGTGGAGCCTAATCTTCCTACCTCTTTCCCAGGCTGGACTGAGAGCCTAGGAAGTGTGGTAGAGAGCTCGTTGTCAAACAGTAGTCTCAAACCATCTTCTGCTTCTTCCCCAAGCCGAGATTGGCACTTACTTTTAACACTGCTGAAGCTGGAACCTTCAGAGTTCTCCTCTCCTTCCATATTGTCCTCCAAGCTTATCCACCCCGAATCTATTATTTCAGCCTTGCTCTTCTTTTGATTGTACTTTGGATTTAGCTTCTCTGGACTGGAAGAGTAGGAAACCAGTCTCAGCTCCCAGGCAAGCCCCAAACTAGATGCTGTTGAGCCTGCCACTGGAGTTTTGCATTGAGAGGAAGATTTCGCCGCTGCAGCTTTAGTTTGGGACGATGATACACCCAAACAATGGTCCCCTATTTAGCTTCTCTGGACTGGAAGAGTAGGAAACCAGTCTCAGCTCCCAGGCAAGTCCCAAACTAGATCCTGCTGTTGAGCCTGCCACTGGAGTTTTGCATTGAGAGGAAGATTTCGCCGCTGCAGCTTTAGTTTGGGACGATGATACACCCAAACAATGGTCCCCTAACTCTCGATCTGTTTTAGTAGTCACATGATCACTACATGACTTCCTTTTTGGTTCTAAGTTTTTCAACTTTAATGGGCCAGGCCTATTTGACCCAACAGCACTCCCACTCTCTTCTAATGTCACGTGTCTATTTAAAGCACCTCGTGACTGGGCCAAGCCATTCGAAGGCGCACCAAGAATTAATTCTCCTTGTCTCCCATTTGTCTCCACCCTGAACATTTGTTTAAATTTGAACCTGCCATGCCTCCATCTTTTGAACACATTAATGCCTGAGTAAAGGTTTTAAACATACCCATTGAACTTCTGACTTGTTGCTTCGAATTACCAAACCGAGAGGTAACTTGATTTACACCTTTCCAATTCTCAGCCTTTTCAGTTTCCTTATTCATGAAACTTTCTAATTTTCTCCGTTCTCCTCTATCTCTAAGGCTGCCTCGAGACCAGGTTTTGGCCACGTCAGCTTCATCTTCTCCAGCCCTTCCTTCCTTCCACCATCGAGGTTCCACAGAGGTAGCTATCCAAGCTTTGAACATCTGACCATCTGGGAAAACTTCTACAGACAACTTTGCAATTCTGTTAAAACTCTCATCCGACCATAGATGATAAGGCAGCCCCAGAATTCTCATCTCAATGCAACCTGTTGGGTCTACAGTTTTCTCTTTGCAACTTGGGGACCATCTTCCTACCACTGTCATTCCTTGCTTTGTTATTGCCGACACAGCTTCAAAGTTTGGCCAGGGATTTCTACAAGAAACCACAGCCTTCTGCCCGTCAATAGGAATAATCTGCAGCATTTCTGAAACCTTCAAAACTTGTTGAATCTCTTCACCCATGGTTTTCCAATTTGTAACTTCCCTGTTCATGGAGATTACTAGTTTGTTCTCCCACTCTTTTTTGGATTTATTGATCCAGTCTCATCGACCCTAAACTTGCATCAATCTGAGCATCCTTATCCGTATTGGTTTCCCTTTTTCTGTTTCCTTCTACTCTGTTTCTTCCATCTTCTCTTTGGAGTTCTTCTGACTCTCTTCCTTTCTGAACGGAGACTCCTGCATTGCTTGTATTATTTTATCCAACCTGAGGCTTCTCTCTCTTCAAGGAAGCAAGTGAACTGTTTCAGACCCTCTCCATAGTATTTGTAGATGCCCACAAATCTTTGTTTTTTGTTCTCTTTTCTTTCAGCAGAATATCTTCTTCCCTCTTCCACAAGACTACACTTCCATTCTATTGTTCACAAGGTTCTCTTAACTCCCTACAGGAATCCCTGAAACCAGGAGACTGCTCTCTCTTCAAGAATCAGCGAAGCTTTTCTCAGCTCCACTACCTTCAGGGAAATTCCTCTTCTTGTCCAAACTTCTTCCAAAGCAAATGTTTTGGAATGTGAGAGATAGGGTGATCACGTTGTTGCATTGGACAAGTATAGGTAAATATTTAGGGATGTTATGCAGATGCGACTGTGAGAGATAGGGTGATCATGGGCAAGGCTGGGCTTAGCACAGGGTATAAGAGGTATAGGGAAAGACCAGCAAAAAAAAAAAAAGAAACCTCAGCAAATATGCAGAAGTTAATTTGTATCTGAAATTTTACCAAACAACAAATATCCTCAGAAAAATGTAAAAGCTGTTGTGGCACTTCTTTTTGTTCTTTTGGCCTCATTTGTTTGCACTTTGCAGTGCACTTTCATTAGCCCTGGTGCAAAAGTATGGGAGTGTTGGAGTGGGAATTCTGGTTTGCTTTTTTTTTAAGTTTTACTTTGTTTTGTTTGTTTGCAGTGCAGGTGAAGTAAATTAAATCCTAAAGCAAAAGCTAACCAGAACACACTCCCATTTATCTGTACTAGTGCAAATGAAATTGCAATGCAAACAAATGGAGTGTTTATTTCAGTTTTTGTATTGAAGGTATTTGTTTATAGATGCATTTTCAACTAGACAACCATGTTATGTTTAGTAATGCATTTAGCATATTAGCATAATATAATTTAAGCAGATTATTTATATAAAATCCGTTGGGGTCTAGGATTTTATGGCAGTTGTAAAGTTGTTTAGGGTTGGCTGATCCCTATCCAAGGTGTTCCCTTTGGGGAGGATCTGTTGCATTCTATCTGGTTTAATAAAATTACTTCACCTTTTCTCAATATATATATATATATATAATCCGTTAACTGTTTTATTGAAATATGCTCCACATGCAAGTAATGATGGGTAAGTAGCACACAATTTGGAGAAAAGTTTTTTGGTGAATATGTTTTCGATTTCAACATGCTTTACATTTTGGAATTATAAATGGTATATTGTTATACAATTTCTATAACAGTGTGCCTGATTATTTTTTCATTTTGTCGTTGTTTCATGAAGCTAAACCGAAGCTGCCAACAAATTTTGAGGAGGATACCTGGGCAACATTGAAGTCAGCCATTAGTGCCATATTTCTGAAGCAGCCAGACTCTTGTGACTCTGAGAAGCTTTATCAGGTAAGACTTTTCTGCAGTATTGTTGTTTTGTTTACAATGCATCTTCATTCTTAGGCATGAATATTATTGTGCATTTGGTTAGAAATAAACCACCTACCTTGTCATTAGGCTGTTTGTGATCTTTGCCTCCACAAGATGGGAGGAAATCTTTATCAACGAATTGAGAAGGAATGTGAATCACACATTTCGGCTGCACTACAATCTTTGGTTGGCCAGAGCCCAGATTTGGTGGTTTTCTTGGCTCTTGTAGAGAAATGCTGGCAGGATCTTTGTGACCAAATGTTGATGATTCGTGGTATAGCTTTATATCTTGACAGAACATATGTAAAACAAACCCCAAATGTGCGTTCATTGTGGGATATGGGGTTGCAACTGTTTCGCAAACATCTCTCTTTGTCTTCAGAAGTTGAGCACAAAACAGTCACGGGCCTTCTGAGGTTGATTGAAAAGGAAAGGTATGTTTGGTGCTTTCAAGATTTCAATTTCTAAGAAAAGGGGAAACATAATAATCTTGACTTCTAGGTATCAATACTTATGACTCATGACAGCATTGTACTACTCTTGAAAATTTATCTTTTTGCTCTCTCAGGAACATTGCAACCACTATTAGATTTTTGTGTTTAAGGCTGCGTTTGGAAATGATGCAAATTGAGTGTAAATCCCGGTTCAGGGTAAATTTGCACTCTGGTTCACTTTTGCCTGTGTTTGGCAACATTACATTTATGCATTGACAAATGGCAGAAAACACATTTTCCAATGCATATTTACATTGATAATAAGATGTAAAAGTACATCAATAAAAAAGAAGTAAATTTGCATTCAAGTGGGCTTTTGATAAAAGGCATATGCTTTATTGGAATTCGTGTTTGCATCCATTACAGCTAAAAGTCTGTTTGGTAAGAAGGTAAATTTGTCAGTGCAAAACTAACCCAACTTTGCAATTTATATGGACTGTTTTACGCTCTACATATTTGCATTCACACTTATTTGCATCGTTTCCAAATACAGCCTAACTGAATAGATTAATAAGTCACCTTTTTGTTCTGGTGTTAAATTGTTCATTGCTGAGATCTTGGTCAGTGTTAAACAAATAGAGCAATCTTAGTGCTATGATTGTTACAGTTCTGCATAAAACCTAGTTGTGAGTCCTCTTCTTATTATGTTTTGATATGGTCTAGGTTTGAATTTTTAGCTTGCAATAATGTTTCAGGACATATATTGCCTTTCAAAGATAGATTGCCTAGGAAGGAGTAATCTTATTTGATCAGTTGATAGCAATGTTATGAAAATTGTAATCGTATCATAAATTGTAAGATTTTTTTTTCTGATTTTTCTAAAAGTTGTCAAAAAACCATAAAAATACCTAAACCTCTCAAAGATAGAGAAAATTGCTTTGCACTAGCTTCCAGTACTGACCAGATTTATCATATCCTACTAAGAAAAGGATGAGACCTTATCCAGAAGTTGTTTAAAAAGAACCATAATGTTTTATATTCTCTAATTCCCTGTTCACTTGTTAGACAGACTTAGACATGCATCATGATTCATGAAAAATACTAAGATAAGAGACATGCATTGCATATGCCGTAGAGTCCATACATGCTCAATTTCATCATTCAAGAATCAAGAATAAAATAATTCAAACTTCAAGCTACAAATTGAGACATTGCAAATGATTATTATATACAATATAAGAAATTATAAACTGAGATACACAAATCTTTAAAGGCTGAACCGTATGCAGTATTACAAGGTGTTCAGATTGCAAAAGAGATCAACGAACCTGGTGATTGAAGGGGACTCCAAGGTGGTGGTAGGCTGGGTAAAAGATCCGGAGTCAGTGATTTGGTGTTATAGAGATGAAATGAAGAAGTTCCAGTGCTTAACACAGCAGATGAATTTGATTATACAATGGGTGGGGAGGGAAGCTAATGCATTGGCTGATTCTTTAGCTAAGCAAGGGGCAATTAGGGAGCAGTTGTGTTTGGAGAAATTGTAATTATTGTGCTGTTTTTTATTTAATAGTGAGGCTGCACCTTGCACCTCCCCTTGGGATGTTTGTAACAGTGCTTATCCTTATTGGTTTTAATGATCTTTTACTTGTCAAAAAAAAAAAAAAAACTGAGGTACAAAGTGAAAGGTATTCATTATATGCATGGAGAACAGTAAAGTCAAGGTCAACCAGTACCAAACCCAGGATTAACATTGAATAATAAATAATATAGTTTAATTAGGTCTTTCTCAACTTCCAAATCCATATAATAAAGGAAGAAAAAGGGGTGCCTAGAAAAAGAAGAAGAATGGAGCAGTCCCTCAATTTTGAAATCAAAGACTGAGGGGAAAGAAGAAGAATAAGAATGGGGTGGACCCCTGATTTGGCTTCAAAATCTGAGGGGGAAGAATCCCTTGTTTTTGGCATAAAAACAGCCATCAAAATCTGATTGGCTGGTTAGTGTTGGAAGAAGAAGGTACTTGGATCCTTGGGCACTTGATAAGAGAAATTAGAATTTTGGTGTCTCGTATGAATTGCTAATTCAATTGGATTCCTAGATGTGCTAAAAAGTCCAATAGATACTCTTGCTAGGGAAGGAGTGGCTAGAGGAGAATTAGTTTGGCCATTTGGGGGGTCAATCCAGGGAGGCAAGTGTAAAATTGTGTAGCAGTTTCTTAGTTTTTTTTTGATGAGTTTGCAGTTTCTTAGTATTAAGTGCTTTGAATCAGGTCAACATTCATCTGTTGCGGATTTTTTCTTAATTCCTAAATCACAACTCTTGGGAATGAATGTCTTTTCAGTTTTCACTTGTTAATATAATTCTTTTCTATTGTAGCTGATTAAAAAAATTATTGGACAAGAAGTCACCATCTTGTTCCTGTTCATAGTTAATGGTCTTTGCACTGATAGTTCTTTTTCGTTTAACACCTTCTAATGCACAATGTTTGTTTATGGTCTACCAGATTAGGTGAAGCAATTGATAGGACGCTCCTCAATCATCTTTTGAAGATGTTTACTGCTCTAGGAATTTACTCAGAAAGCTTTGAGAAGCCATTTCTTGAGTGCACATCTGAATTTTATGCTGCTGAGGGTGTGAAGTACATGCAGCAGTCAGATGTTCCAGATTATCTGAAGCACGTGGAGGTACTTTGTTGTTGATTTCTTTTCTTGCTACCTATGTCTTTTCTTTCCATTTCCCCCCTTTTTTCTGTTGCTCTACTGAGTTGTGCATTTTATGTTGCACTTATTATTTATTGAGAAGGGATCTCTACTTGCTTGAATCCAAGTTATATGTTTTTACTTTCAATTAATTGAAGCATGCATGCTTGCAGCTGAGGTTGCATGAGGAGCATGAAAGATGCTTACTCTATTTGGATGCATGTACGAGGAAGCCACTGGAAGCTACTGCAGAAAGACAACTTCTTGAGCGCCATACCTCCACAATTCTTGATAAGGTATGCTTCATGTTTAGACTTTGCAATTCTCTGTTTAATTCTCCAGTGCTTTTTTTTTTTTGTAGTTTGGAACTTCTGACATAACCTCTTTTACTTCTGTTTGTTCATTGTGGCCTTTTCAGGGATTTACATTATTGATGGATGGGAACCGTATTGAGGATCTTCGGAGGATGTATACACTATTTTCAAGGGTTTCTGCTCTTGAATCTCTAAGGCAGGCTCTTAGCTCTTACATCCGGGGTACTGGGCAGGGCATTATTATGGATGAGGAGAAGGACAGAGATTTGGTGCCTTCTCTTTTGGAGTTTAAGGCTTCTCTTGATACAATATGGGAAGAAAGCTTCTTCAGGAATGAATCCTTTTGTAACACCATAAAGGATTCATTTGAACATCTAATTAATCTTCGTCAGGTTTGTATTGTCTTAACAGACTTCTTCTCTGATCAGGAAATGCCTTATCTTGACACTTGAAAGACAGAAATTTACCTAGAGAAAGAGAATGAAGACTTGGACATAGAAAATTGATAGAAAACAGTAAAACAACACCTAGGAGCTTTCTGAGACTCTAAGTAACAGCTGAAGTGGCTAAAGAAAGGTCATTACTCAATGTTTGTCCTGGGCTCCCAGCTTCCTGGGATCTTGGGATATAGGTAGACTCAACACCGACCTAATCTTTGTTTTTTTTTTTTTTTTTTCTTAATTGTTTGCACAAGTGGGTACTCCTGGATCCAGACCTGTGATCTCATGCTTGTCAGGCCAAGGTTTTACCATTATACCAAGCTGAAGGACTAGACTTAATGAATTATTGCATTGTCCTTTTGTGGATAAGTTATTAAGGAGCCCCTTAATGGATGAATGTCATGTTGGGTAGATTACTATACCTCTAAATATTTGTTATATAATCAATTTATCCACTAAAAGACAAAGCAATAAGTTATTCAGTTCAACCACTTCCGCTATTATCCAATGTCCCTCTAGTTATGAGAATGGGTTACAACATTTTAGGCTTCAATACAATGTAAAACCAATATGGAGGGGCAGGGAGATGAATCCAGCCTATGAGGTTTGATGTTTGGCATCATGTACATAGTATTCTTTTGAGAAATTAACAAAATCCTTAGTTCATCATCATCATTGTTAACATCCAAGCCTTATCCCAACTATATGGGGTTGACTACATGGATCCTGTTTTGCCATTCTGTTCTGTTTAATCCCATATCTATTGTTAATTATGAGTGCTTAGATAATTTCTTACTACTTTGATCCATGTCCTTTTTGGTCTACCCCTAGCCCTTCTAACCCTTTCAGGCTTCAACTTGCAATAGATCACTTCTTATGGGTGCTGTCAATGGTCTTCTATGCATGTAACTAAACCATCTTAGTCTACTTTCTCTCATTTTATACCTGTTGGAGCTACTCCTAGGTTCCTTTGAATGACTTCATTTCTGATTCTATCATTTTTAGTTTTCCACTCATCCAGGGCGTACGTTTGTCCCACACTATTTTTTTTACACGTTTCTTGACTGCCCAACAATTTGCTCTATATAGCATAGCTGGCCTTACAACTGTTATATAGAATTTTCCTTTTAATCTAAGTGGTATTCATCTATCACACACCCTCCTTTTTTGTCCATCCTGCTCTAATTCTATGTGTGACTTCCTCTTCAATCTCTCACTTGTTAGGAATTATCAAACCAATGTACCAGAAAAATGCCACATTGAGTTATTTCTTGGTCTCCAATCCTGAGTGTATCCTGATTTGCACTCCTATTATTATTAAATTTGCATAGCATATATTCTGTTTTAGTCCTACTTATTTTAAAACCTCTTGTTTCTAAAGTATTTGTCCATAAACCTAATTTTGCAAACAATCTTTCATTAGTTTATCAATTAAAACAATGCCATCAGCAAACAACATGCATGATACACCATAGGCCTTCTGAATATGTTTAGTCAAATTGTCTATGAATAACACAAATAAATAAAGGATAAATTCTGAACCTTGGTGAAGACACATCAAAACTGCAAAGTCTGATGTCTTGCCCTCAATTTTTCTATAATAAAACCCTTAGTCTCAGTTTGGAAAGAGTACAAATAGAAATATGTATAGTGCAAATACAAGGTTTACAATACAATATACATGGTTTTGCACTGTACATATTTCTATTTGTACTCTTTGCAAACTGAGCCTTAGTTACAGATCCAGAAAAGAGTTACAAACCCCAGCTTTAGCCAGATCATCAGTCTTGTGGCATTAGAAAAGGCACCTTCCAGAGGCTCCACATAGAGGGTTGGTAAAAACCTTGATCTTTTCTTCATTGTTTTGGAATATCTGTCTGTAAGTTTTTTGCTCTTTAGATTTTGGTTGTTAGTTATCTGACAGAAAACAACAACTATATCATAGACAGAGTGAGCAGAAAGATAGGAAAACTACAATTTTTTTTGGTTGTTATTTCTTTGAAGCATAAGCTCTTCTAGTCTTCTGAATAAGCAACAAAAGAACTCAACAATTGAACTATATTATGTTCATTTTACATGGTTCACAGTTTGTGAATTTAGCATTGATAAAAAAAGTTTGTGAATTTATCCTATATCCACATGGATATAGAAGAAAAAAAGGTCATTACCCATATTGGTCCTACCTATCTAGGGTTTTTGGAGTGGACTGGATACAAACCTAACTCATGGCATTTTTGCACAAAATGGGTGCTCTGAGACTTGAACTTGTATTATCATGCTTATCATCCTGAGATTTTATAGCTTATTTTCCACTTGTGTGACTTGAGGTGAGTGATTCCCTAGGTCCTATAGTGATTTTAGGAACCCTAGGGAGTGATTCCTAGGCTTCTCTTCTTTCTGCTATCTTTTCATCTTCTCTCTCAGGGTTTTTGAGCTTTAGCTATCCACAGCCAAAGACCTGGGAAAAGGCAATCAGAAACCATCATTCTACATCAATTAAAGGACTGAGAATGACTGAGTTTGATCTCAGATAAGTCTCCTCAATTCTCAACATCCACAGACCTTCTCTAGAAAGAGAAACTTCTCCCTCTAAATTTTCTCTACAAACCTTGGTGAAAACCAGATCTGGTTCAGCCATCCTCCATATCTAAGGTTCCTTTTCATCCCACTAAAACAGTTAAAATACTCACTAAAAATCCTAGTTATTAAAAGTTTTTAGTTTTGATGGTGCATATCGTTTTCTGATGATATTGATTGATGAAACCAAAAAATGATCAAATGTTAAATTAGATTTATGGACAAATACATCATAAGCAGGTGGTTTTAAAATAAGTAATACCAAAATAGAAAATATGCAATGCAAATATTATAATAATAGGGGTGGAATTTATGGTACATCAAGGATTGGAGACCGAGAGTATATCTCACTGTGACCACTTCTATTACCTTGTTTGCAAATTCATAGCAAGGGAGAGATCAAAGAGAATGTTCCCCATAGAAATGGAGTGGGATGGGAAAACTGGAGGGGTGCATCTGGAGTCTTATATGATGGGAGAATACCACTTGAGCTAAAAGGAAAATTTTATAAAATGGTTATAAGGCCAGCAATGCTGTATAGAGCTGAGTGTTGGGTAATCAAGAAACAACATGTCTAAAAATGAGTATGGTAGAAATTGAATGCTGAGATGGATGAGTGGAAAAACTAGAAAGGGTAGGATCAGAAATGAACATATTCGAAAGAACCTAGGAGTAGCTCCAGTAGGTGATAATATGAGGTAATGTAGATTAGGATGGTTTGGGATGTGCAGAGAAGTCCATTAGCATTAGTAGTAAGTGATCTATTACAAGTTGAAGGGGTTAGAAGAGCTATGGGCATCCCATATAGTTGGGACCAGGCTTAGATGATCATGATGATAATTGGTCATCAAGAAGCTCTTCCCAGGTCAGTTTCTGATTATGAATCCGTTCTTTTGCTTAGAATAGGCTTTCAAAGAAGACTGTCTCCCTTTAAATTTGAACAGATTTGGTCAAGTAATGGGGTTCCAGGAGAAGTTGGATATGTGGTTGGACAACATTCCCTTTGAAGACCCTCCATGCATGCTTTATAGGCTAAACTCTAACTGATGAAAATCAAATTAAGGATCTGAGTTACTCAATTACATGGAATTGGGAAGGTAGAAGTGAGAAAAGGAAAATCTCTTTAGATCATAAGGAGGATTGGTATTCTTGAAGAAGTAATTCATATTAGTAAAGCAGATAAGGAAGCAAGAAAGAAAGTGAAGGAAGAATACTTCATGGCTAGAATGGAAGCAGCTTATTGGAGACAAATTGTGGGTTCAATGGCTGAGGAATGAGATAAGAGCACCAAGTTTTTGCATCAAATGGTAAGTTGGTTGAAGGGGAATGAGAGGTTTAGGGGTTCATAGATTGCCACTTTAAGAAGCTGTTTTCTGGGTCAGTTGGGTTTGGACCAAAGCCAGGTAATATAGTTTTCTCCCAAATATTGTATGCTGATGCAGGTTGTCTGGAAAGCCCTTTTGATGAGAAAGATTTGAAAGATTTATGTAAGGACAAGTTCTGGGCACCAATGGCTATCCCATAAGCCTTTTCATATCCTGTTGGGATTTTCTAGGATCTGATTGTGTTTAGGTGAGGGGAGCTTTTAATCTCCATGGGTCAATACTCAATACTTGAATTTGCTAAGAACATTTGCATCCAGACTTAAGAGAGTCATCTGGACCAAAATTTATGATGTGAAAGGTGCATTTATGGAAGGCTGTTAGTTGGGACTTTGTAAATTAGCTTAGATTAACTCTTACATCCATATGATGGTTATTAAGTGGAGGAAGTTGATCAGCTCATTCCATTCCTTCTTCATTACTTTTCCATCCTGATTAATAGCTCTACCAAAGGTCACTTTAAAAGGAGCTAGGTTTCTAAGGTGGGGAGACCCCATGTCCCTTTTCCTTTTATTATCATTATTATTCTGGAAGCCTTGAGCTGTTTAGTGATGAGAGCAGTGCAGACTAGTTTGGTTAAGGGCTTTGAAGTAACCCCTGAAGGTCCAAAGATCTCCCATTTGCAGTTTGCTAATGATGCAATTTTCTTTTGTGATGCTAATCATGAAATGTGAAGGTGGGCTTTGGCACAACAGTTGGGTTGCTCTATTGTGATCTGGGTGGCCAAGGTTCAAATCTTGGAAACAGCCTCTCTGTATGTACAGGGGTAAGGGCCGTAAGGCTGCATACATGTATCCCCCCCAGACCCCACATTGGCAGGAGCCTCATGCACTGGGCTACCCCATATGCTAATCATGAAATGTTGAGGTACTTGAGATGCATTCTGGTGTGTTTTGAAGTTGAAGCAAAGTTTCTTGGAGTTGAGGACATGGAAAATCTAGTTGATTTGGTAGAGGCCCTTGTCCATGCATCCGACAATCTTCCTTCATCTTG